GGCCTACAAAAATCCACCAGGCCATCCACCGCGTTCACCTCAACCAACAATCCGGATCACCATACAGTTGCATCTGCCTTTTCTCCTCCATCAGGTATCTCCTCTCTGTGATTTCTTGATTCTGGGGCGTCAAACCACATGACTTTTGACCCAACACACTTCGAGTCATCCACGCCTATGAGTTCATCTGCACAGATTCATACAGCTAATGGCTCTATGATTGCTGCTAGTCACATTAGCTTCATAAAAACTAACAATGGTTTATCTGTCTCAAATGTTTTTCTTGTTCCTCAACTATCTATGCAACTTTTATCTGTTGGACAGTTATGTGACCTTGGGCTAATCGTCATCTTTCATTCTACTGGCTTTGTTGTACAGGACCGCTCGACGGGGATACAACTTGGGACCAATCATAGAGTTGGACGACTACATGTGGCAAACAAGTTACATATTCCATCTTCCACCGACTCATCTCTCATGGCTCTTACTACCAACTCATCCTCCTTTATCTCTTGGCATTCTCGATTAGGTCATGTTTCCTTTCCTCGCCTAAAATACATGATAAATAAAGGATTGTTAGGACCAGCTACTTCAGACAAAGATCCCTCTTGTATTGCTTGTAAACTGGCCAAACAACCAACTCTTCCCTTTAATAATAGTACAACTACTTCCTACTCTCCTTTTGATCTTGTGCACTCTGATGTCTGGGGTAAAGCTCCTGTTGTCTCTATGGGTGGAGCTCAATATTATGCGGTCTTTATTGATGATTATTCTCGATACACTTGGACCTATTTACTTCATTCTCGATCTGATTTTTTTGAAAGTATACATTGAATTCGCTACTATGATTAAAACTCAATTTTCGAAAACTATCAAAGTCTTCAGATCCGACTCCGGGGGAGAATACTTATCCAAACACTTTCTTGAGTTCCTAAAATCACAAGGGATCCCCAACTATCTTGTCCAGACACCTCTCAGCAAAATGGGGTTGCTGAACGAAAACACCGACACCTTGTTGAAACAACTCGTATTCTTCTTGTCTCCTCATCCGTCCCTTCCGTATTCTGGGGGGGAAGTCATTTACACATCTGCCTTTCTTATTAATAGCATTCCCTTCGTAGTCACCAGTGGCTTATCTCCTTTCGAGCGTCTATATGGGACCACTCCCGATTACTCTGAGCTTCGTGTATTTGGATCCACTTGCTTTGTGTTACTCCCGAAACGAGAATGAACAAAACTCACTCCTAAAAATGTCATGTGTGTCTTCCTGGGGTATGAGATTCAACAAAAAGGGTATCGCTATTACGACCCGATTGCCAAACGGCTTCGCATTTCCCGCCATGTTACATTCTGGGAACATAAACCATATTACACCCTGTCCAAAGATCCCCTTACAAATACTATGATCTCTCTTCCTGTCGACCCATTCCCAGAGTCCCCTAATCCACTAGTGTCAGATCCTATGCCATCTGTCACTGCTCCTATAGCTGATCCTGTGATACCACCTCCCACTCATCCTGTCGCCACTCCTATGCCACCACAAATTGCAAAGAAAAGAACAAAGAAAATTGACTTGTATTTTTTTAATTCCGATTACAATTCGATTACAAAAGAGAAGAGAACAAATTTGATTCTCTCCTTTGTTTAAAACTGGGTTCTTCTCGGTAGCGATGGAATGCCTCCTTCGATTGCTCGCGTCGAATTTGCTCTCCGTTGACGATCCGACCGTCTTCTATCTCGTGGGAACAATGAACTTCTGTGGAAAGTTTAATGGGTAACTCTGAATGAGTTTAAGAACTCTGAACGAGTTAGAACTCTGTGAATAGAGTTGTTAGAACCGAAAATTCGGTTAATGACCAAGCTGATATTCTGTTGTTGAAGAATCCTCTCAGATTTGATCTTCTGAATTTGATTCGAAAATCCTATCTCCAAGGATTTTACTGCTGCTGCTGTTGAATCACCGAACCGGAGTGGTTGAGATCTTGGAAATCCAACCTGCTGCCTCTCTTTCGTTCCAAAAAGCCAGCCCTTAACTCAGTTGAGTTTACCCATATTTATAGGGAATTAAGGGGTGTAACCGCCCCCTTAATTCTCTCCATAGTGGGGCGGAAATCCCTCAAATCGTGGAGGGAAAATGGTTCCTGCAACCGTTCAGCTCGTGTTTGAACGAGTCAAACGCCCACGTGGGCGTTCAGGATCCTAACTCCGCGTTTTAGAATTGAGACGCGGAGTTGGGTACTCGCTGGGCATTGAAAAACACGGGTCTGACCCCAGCGTTTTAATGTTGTAACGCGGGTCCGACTCCAGCGTTTTGATGTTGTAACGCGGGTTCGACCCTGGCGTTTTAATGTTGTAACGCGGGTTCGACCCTGGCGTTTTGATGTTGTAACGCGGGTTCGACCCTGGCGTTTTGATGTTGTAACGTGGGTTCGACCCTCACGTTTTGATGTTGTAACGCGGGTTCGACCCTGGCTTTTTACTGTTGACACACGGGGAGGACCTCCGCGTTTTGGTGTTGATACACGGGGAGGACCTCCGCGTCTTGCCTTGAAGAGATTATCACCAAGTAATCTCTTTTTGTCATAGCGTTGCAAAGATCATTGTCTTATAATCTTCATCTTGGCTCCTTGAGAATATGAGAGTCGTCAGCTTGTAACTCCCGATGTTGATTGTGAAGGCTGTTGAATTAGAGCTTCCATCAGTTGTCGCGAAAGTCTTCAGATTACAGCCTTCTGGAAGTCGTCAGATTGTAACTTCCATCACCGGTGTTTGATGGGGGATAAGCTATCTATTGTGGTTTTTTAGACAGCCTACACCTGACTTTCCCCTTGCACCTGTGACTGTCTGTCCACCTGTTGATAACTCTACGCCTTGTCCTGAGTTTGTATCTCCCGCCGACAGCCCTTCAATGCGCCCAGTCCGAGACTGACATCCAACAGTCTGACATTCCGATTACGAATGCTACCTCTCTGCCTTGCTGTCTCTCCATGAGCCATCCTCATATCGTGAGGCTTCTACCGATCATTAATGGCAGAAGGCTATGTCTAAGGAACTTGCTGATCTTCAGAAAAACAGAAACTTGGGTTCTCACGGATTTACCCACTGGAAAATTTGCTGTTGGATGCAGATGAATTTACAAAATCAAAACAAAGGCTGATGGGTCTATTGATAGATACAAAGCCCATCTTGTTGCAAAAGGATATACTCAAGAGTATGGAATCGATTATGAAGAAACTTTGCCCCGGTCTCTCGTATGACCACCGTTCACACTCTTATCTTAGTTGCCTCCATCCGTAATTGGACTCTTCATCAAATGGATGTTAAGAATGCCTTTCTTCATGGCAATCTAAATGAAGAAGTCTACATACAACCTCCCCCTGGGCTTCCTCATTCCCCTAGACAAGTTTGCAAACTTTGACGGGCTCTCTATGGTCTCAAACAAGCGCCTCGGGCTTGGTTTGAGAAATTCTCCACAGGTATTCTGCAGCACGGGTTTTTCTCAAAGCTCTCATGACCCAACAATGTTTACTTGCTCCTCTCCACATGACATTGTTATTCTACTGCTTTATGTCGACGATATGGTTATCACTGGGGATGACTTGAATGGTATATCCAGGCTCAAAGCTTATCTATGTTCATGTTTCGAAATGAAAGATATGGGTGTCCTTCGCTACTTCCTTAGTATTGAGGTTGCTCACTCCTCTACGGGCTATTTCCTCTTCCAAGTAAAATATGCCTCTGATATTCTCAACCGAACGGGCCTTACTGGCAACAAGACTGCCGATACTCCTCTTGAGATGAATGTCAAACTCTCCCCTTCTGATGGCACCCCACTATCCAATCCCGCATTATATCGGCAACTTGTGGGAAGTCTCAATTACCTCACTATCACTAGACCTGACATCAGTCATGTTGTCCATATTGTGAGCCAATTCATGTCTGCTCCCCGTTCTATTCACTTTATTGCCGTTCTCCGTATCATACGCTACATCAAAGGGACCTTGCACCAGGGCTTGCATCTTGCTTCTACATCTCGTCCTGTGTTACAAGGATACTCTGACTCAGACTAGGCTGGTGATATTACTGATCGGTACTGTATTTTCCTTAGCGATTCACTTATCTCATGGAAAAGCAAGAAACAGACTGTTGTTGTCCGCTCCAGTGCCGAAGCTGAATATCGTGCTCTCGCTCATGCTTCCGCCGAAATTGTTTGGCTCCGCTGGCTGCTTCAAGATATGTGTATTGACCATCCTGACCCAACGCCCTTATACTATGATAACAAAAGTGCTATCCAAATAGTCCACAATGATGTCTTTCATGAGCGCACTAAGCATATTGAAGTGGATTGTCATTTTGTTCATCAACACTTTCTTCAAGGGCATATTCTGCTACCGCACATATCTTCCGAGTTTCAGACAGTCAACTTGTTCACTAAACCTCATGTGGTTGCCAGGTTCCGGTTCCTCGTATCCAAGCTCCGGATGCTCTCCAGGGGGGGGGGAGGGGGGTGTTAGAATATTTCTACATATGCCTAGAATATTCATTCCTTGATCTCCTCCCTTTTTTTTGAGAGATTGCATATATTTAGGAGATTTTGCTTGATTCATTCCTTGATTGTAATCATCATGTATAGCTCTTTCCTCATCCCTATATAAAGGGACCATGATTCATTGTACTCAAACAAGCTTAATATTCAAAACATTATTCTCTCTAATTCTTATCAACATGAACACACAAAACACGAATGAGAATTGGAAGCAATAAAAAAAAACAATAGAAAATATCGTTATTTGCATATGCATCCGCGTCCTATTTTATTTGCAGATGTGACCTCATTCAATTTTATTAGCAAGGGGTAATTGCTTATCATCCTCACGCTTACAATTTTAACTTTATAATACATTTTGATATTCTACATTACATTTGGCATGAAACATGAGCAACTTTTCTCAAGAGGGTCCTCCTCTTCCTCCCCTCTTCAAAGAAAAAAATGAGTCATAATGTAAGCGCAATCTAGGACAATATATACATAAAGATTGTCGACCAAAGTGTAAGTACAGGAGCAGAAGCCAAATAAGTCCAGAGAAAAATATATGAACATTCTTCCTGACCAACATCAAATAGTTGAGCCATGATCCCTGCGTTTCACACATTTTCATTCGATCAATCTCATAACCGATGTCAATCAGTTTGAATTTTGCTAACGAATAGAGTTTTACATACCGATGGCCATGGCAGGAGGAAGAACAAACTGAATTAGCAGAACATAATGAAATAGTGGATCTTGTGGCAGGAATCCCAATGCACCTGCTGCTTTCACTACCCCAATTCCTGCTATTGGAAGAAGAACATACCGTGCTACGATTATTCCTATAACTGTCGAGGGCTTTACTGTAGACTTCCGGAGTCCTGCAAAATGTTTTCAGTTCATAAAAAATGTTGATTTGAGTAAACATTTAGTCACCTTTTCTTTATGTATCCATTGTAGTTACCTTTAGTTAGGTTCCCGCCAAGAATAAGAGTATTGCAAGGGACTGAGCCATCTCTGTATTAAAAACAAATAAAATTAGAGATGTACTAATTAAATTGAATTTACTTAGTTAGATCGTATGTGTGTGTGTATCTAGGATCAAACTCACCCCAATAATGCTGTTGAGTCCTGGATTACTCTAAGCGGCGCAGAGGCTCCAATCATGAGTGATTTTAACCATGGCACGACACCAACAATGAAGCCGATCATCTATAAATTCGTTCATTTTGTTATTAACATCTCATATACTACCATAATTCTCTGATAATTTTCAGTTAAAGAAGAGGGTGAAAAAAAGGCTTTGTACCGCTGCTATAGTAGACGGTGCCATGAGCTTTTTTGAGATTTGATGAAGTACTTCTTTCATTTGACCCCAGCATTGTACCTTGCTGCTTGTGAGCTTTCCACTAGATAACAATGGCACAATCTGCATTGAGATGGTTTGTGTGAGTAATTTCTGTGGTTAATTAGTCTTCTATAAATCTCACTTACTTAGATATCAGCAGATGAATGCCATCTGATAACAATAGCATAAAAACGAGAATATAAATCCTATCAGAACGCTTCCTATAGGAATACTGTATTTTGAACCATTTTGAACCATAAAGAGGACGATTAAAATTTTCGAACTGTTGTCTGCTCTAATAAAATTTGTACTGTAAACACAATATATAAACATCTGATAAACTGCAGGACTAGATTGAAGAGTCCCTTACCATCTGGGCTTCATCTACTACATTATTTGATGAACAAAGCAGCGCGTCTTGTTGGCTCTCTGTATTTGTTAGCTTGGGTTCTTGTTGGCTCCCTGTATCTGTTAGCTTGAGTACTGTAAGATGATTGATTTCCATTCTTTTCATTATACTGTAAGTATGTGTCCATATGTAGAACCCCCCGAGCTGCCAGAATAAGCACGTGTTAATGCGCGTGTTTGTGCACGTGCATGTGCGTGTACACACAGCATAGATAGTAAAAAATCTTACTGCCATGGATAACGAGACATAAGATAGAGCACGGGAGTTGCAAGTGTTTGGATCCCCAAAAGGATTGTTTTCTTCATTGCAGACAGCAGGTATAATTATCAACATCAGATTGCCCAAATTCCCTGTAAAATAGACTCAATCTAAGCATAAAAAAGAAGTAGAATTTAATAATTTCTTACAGGAACCAAGTCAATGGATCTATCACACACTTTTGTCCTTTGGTGTGAACTTGATCCCAATATTTGTTAGGATAAATTTAAAAAAAAATGAATTTCCAGCAATAATGTAGGAAGAAGACTACTGTAAACAATTCTTCTCTAATAGTACCACAAACTTTACTTCAGAAGAAACTAAGCCCCCTGTAAGCATATTATTATGTCAGTTAAAACGTCTTAGATACTCTTATTTCAACTTAAAAATTATCCTACTGCAAATGTTCACACTTTAATTCACCGAAGACAGTCGTTATAGTTTAGAATAGTTTTCTGCAAACCCCCAGACTAATTCACGGTAGTTTCGTAAAGTATGTACTCACAAGTCGAAAGGATTTGGTACCTGCAGAGCAACTTGCCATAACAAGCCCTTCAATGTGGCTCTTTGGTCTCAAGATCTTCACCACTGCCCATCCAAGAATTGTGCCGATCAAGAACGTAAAGGCAATATTAACAGGCATAAACCACCTTCAATTACAAGATAAAAATGTCACATTAACATAAAACGACCAAAATTTTTCGCTATGGTGATAGAGGATTTTACCATGAGATAATGTCGTGGAGAGTGACAGTTTTCGCTAAGCTTGTGAATATCAGCGCAGGAGAGAACACATAGAATATAATCTGAGTTAAGAGAGAGGGTTCAGTTAGGAACTGTCACAAAGTTTATGTAGAGACTGAATATATGTTGCATATGTTTCATTAATTTTTTCTCGTATACATGTTAACCTTGTTGGTATCTCTTCGAGCATCAGGTGTGAGGATGTTGCAGTAGTCGGAAGCAAGAAAGACTCCGACGAGGCCAACAAGCAAGAATTGGAGTGTTGGCATGGATGCCACCACAAGCAAATCCAAGAGACCCATTTTTGTAGCTGCTGCAGCACTGGAGAGAAACACTAACTGATGAGGAGGCAATAAGAGGAGTTATTTCAGAAAATGATTTTTTTTTAAAACTTGCGTATACACGCTCTCCTCTACTACAAGAGTGTTGTCATTTATATTCCCTTAAGCCATTTCATTAGTAGTTATAGCCATTGAACTTCATATGTTGGTATTTTTCATGTTCGGTTGAGATGTCATGCGAAAATCACTTGACATGATCAATAACCCATTTTTATATGTACAACTGAAAAAAAGACTAAATTATCCTTTAATTTGACGGTAAAAATAATAATACACTCTAAGTTTGAGATGGGCAAGTGCTAATAAAATGATTTAATAATGGCACATAGTCATGGTCTTTTTTTTTAAATCCCTTTTTTTGGGGGGCGTGTCTTGTATTCTTAGGATGTATGGTGTTCGGAAGGTAATACCCTTCTTTAAGAATATATTCAGATCTAATCATAGAAACACACCAGATAAAATAATAAAAAAGCGAAAAAAAAACTGCATAACATGAATACTTCCATGTTTTGTCAAAATAAGATATCATGTCCTCTGTACTTGTAGATTATCAATTTACGTCCTATAATTCCCAGCATGAACTCGAAATCTCTTACGGCAATTCTTGTTTACTGTTTTACTTACACATGACAGTTGAACGCTGCCTATGTGTATATCTCCAACTTCATCAAGACATATTTTTCTCCCAAAAAAAAAAATCAACACACACAAAATTCTATTAGCAAGATATTGTTTATGTTATGTTATGGAAAGTCACAAGTACTACAAGCCATAAAAAAAAGGATGTGTATCAATTTTCAAGATCTAATGATGAGAGAGAGAGAGAGAGAGAGAGAGAGAGAGAGAGAGAGAGAGGGATAAACTAATTAACCTGAGGAAACCAGCAGTACAGAGCTGAAAGCTAGTATATGAAGATATGAAAGAGGAGATAAATATTTTTGAAATGAAAAGAAATATTTGAACCAACCACGAATTATAATGTTTATGATGACTTTGAGACGCTTATGAGATGCCAGCTTTGAGAAATAAATGGGAAATGTCATTGTCATGGAAAAATTTAGGAGGCGTTAGATGTGTCCTTGGGAGCAATTTTCCTAAATTCATTTTAGTGCTTTGAACCAATAATTTTTCTAAATGTGTTTGATTTATCAAAGATGGAGAGCCTGGAGGTCCTCTGGATCCTTGGTTGCAGAGGATCTCTACAATCCATCAATAATATCTCTCCGCTTAGCGAACCCCGTGTATTATATTCTTTATCTAAATTATACCAAGAAACAAATCATAGCATTAGCCCATGCAACTTATTATGCTCTCCTAATGGGTAAATTTGAGATCACTTCCCATATAGAAGTAATTCTGATAAAACTCACATTCCTTGCAAACTCAATGCTTCTAAAATCGCGATTATCGATCAATTGAGCCTTTCCTCGAAAATAATCTATTTGTTAGTTCGATGGCATATTTATATCTTACAATACAATTCCTGACATGAACTTGTAAATCGCTCATGACAAATATTGTTTTTTGGTGCTTCAGTGTGATGAATATTAGATGTAGCACATCGAATTCATGGGAGAGAACTCGTGATCAGCATTAGTAACAAGTTCCGGGTATATAAGAAGAATAATAATCACAGTTCAAAGTTCAAAGAGTGAAAGGGGAAACTAAAAACGTGATGTAGATTTCGTATAATAAACAAAAAAAAAGTACATAATTAAAAATTTCAAGATCTGAAGGAAGAGATAGAGAATGAACTAACCTGAGGAAATCAGTGTTGCAGAGCTAAGCGAAGTCTGAAGAAGAAGGACAATGATATAAGAAAGAGGAGAGAAGGTAAATGCTCAAGTGAAAGAGAATTTTGAAACGACGTCCACATGTTGTAATTATGATATGAGAGAGAGAGAGAGAGAGAGAGAGAGAGAGGAGAGAGAGGTTCATGAGCGTTTTATATACTTTAATTTTATGATAGCGAGGGAAAATGAGAGGAATTGGCCTTGTAATGGGGTTGTTTCCAGCTGAATTATAAGAAGCGTGGTGCTATTGCTAGCCTCTCTTTGATTTGACGACAACTAAACGACATGATCGATCGATGTTTATACTATCGAATCTTTTCACCTGCGGTTCGCATGTTGTAGTATAAGTCTGTTACATAACAATTCGAGTCCGTGTACACACGATATACGAATAATTTTTAAGTATATGTATCCAAAATGCGGATTCTGTCAACCTAATTTCGAAAAACCGGAATCTAAAAATAAAAATTCGAACCGGTGGATGTGATCTACTACACATGAACTAATTAGTAACGAAATTTCAAAGAATTTCATCAAAATTAACATTTTAGAGTCTTCATGAAGTTGGTTAATTTCCGCCCTCTTGATATACAAACACACGTACATAAAAGTAATTTTTTTGTAGTTTTTTTTTTGCAGGTGAACCCCCTTAAATTTTTTAGGATAACTCCACTGAACTTGGATGGGTTTTGCACACAATATTCCTCTTGAACTTCCTTGATTCGACTAAAAGATTTTTCACCTGAACCCCGAAACTACATGATAAAAAAAGAAACAAATATCTTTCGATCCTTAAAAAAATTAATTATTTTATTCTTTTTTATTATTTATAATAGTTATTTGATGATATGAAATCCTCGCATGCCAGCAATAGAAGAAAACAAATTGCATGGTCAAATGTTGATCAATGTTTTGACCATCTGGCATATGTATCGTATCACTAAGTTTCTCTCTATGAAGCTCAAACTAGAATCCATTGGCATCTCCTTTAGAGTTTAAGGTTAATTCCACAAAACCTCTGAAGTTTTGTTTTTTAATTTTTAATTTTTAATTTTTAATTTTATTATTTTTATTATTTTATTTTTGTTTTTGTTTTGGTGGGGGTGGTGTGTGGTTTATATATAACCTTTCTGAACTTTATTTACACCCGAAACTTCAAAGTTATGTCAACGGACTCCCCTACATGTAATTTATAAATAAATAAAAAATTTCTTAAGAGAAAAAAATTCCAAACTTTTGGGGAGGGGTCACCTTATCGGTAAATGAAAAATTATAAATTTTGAGTGTTTTTTGTCTAAGGGGCTGTTTGGTTCGCTATTATAAGGGGTGGAAAACTCAGAAAACCCCTCCACGTCAGATTTTTAGCCCTCCACGTCAGTTTTTTTGTTTCCGTCCATTTCTTTGTGCCGCTTTGGTTCGCTCGAATGGAAGAGGGAAAACTCTGCTGAAATCGCCGCCAACTAAGATTTTTTTCCCTCTCCGATTTCCTTCCCCAACCAAGTGAAATTGATGAAAACTCTGTCACGTCAGATTTTTTTCCTTCTCTGCTTTGTTTACAAAAGCTTTCCTTTTTTTTCTATGCGAACCAAACACAAGAAAAGTAAATACATTGGTTTCCCACCATTTTTTATGTGCGAACCAAAGCAAAACAATCTATTTCTTGGAAAAGTTTGAAAAACTCAAAACTTGTGTTTCTTTACATGAAATTGCATTTCTCTATATCAAGGAAACGAACCAAACAGCCCCTAAACGACATTTAATTAGTTATTTGTAGGTTACAAGTGAGGGCCCGGTGAGAAAAAGTACAGTATATATGGGTTTTGCGAGATACATCAAAGTTCAAGAAGGTTACGTGAAATAAACAAAGTTTATATGGGTTTTGTGAAAAAACCCTCAAAGTTCTGGGAGTTTAATGAAATTAACTCTAAATTTTAAATAATAAAATAGAGAATTTAGCAGACGGATGGTAATAAATGGTTATCCAATAGGAAGGGGACACCTCACTTGTCCCCCTATTGGTCCCATATTTTAGGTCCTTAAGGAATTTTTCTGAATAAAAAAGATGGTCGATTATTGTTCTGCCTCCTATGTCGTATTTATGTCGGCTCATACAAATTCCCTTTATTTATATATTAATGAACTGCCCATCGAATGGTTAATTAGTAGGACCACCAGATAAACTACTCTCAACTACGAAGACAGGCGAATAAATTTCAAGCACCCCACGATTGATGCTCATGTTTCATACCAAGTAAATGAAAGATAGCTCTCAGATAACTAATCAATGAACATAGACTATAAAAAGAAGGGGAGGGGGAGATAAAAAAACATTCCACAGTAACCTCCTTAGATTTCTCTTTTTTATATAATAAAGAAAAATAGGTGAATTTTCTCTAAAATTACTAAAATGCTCCATGTGTATAAAAAAGCGTCACGTTCCAAATCTCCATATAAAAAATAGTATCATGCATGCACTTTTTTATTCTACAAAGAAGATGAGATGTGTACAAACAATTCTATCTTTTTTAGATCTTTATTAAATTAAAATTATTCATATACATAATTAGAAAGGTCAAATAATCATACTTTGTTGATTCTAATCAAATTAGAACTATCCATAATTGAAATATCTAATTTTTTTTAAACTTCTTCTGTCATTTTTCTTTTCTACTGTTTTTATTACTTTGACATTTGAAAAAATTATCATTTGACCCTCCTTAATTTTTAAAGGGTAAAAGTCACAAAAACACTAATAATTCTGGGCATTTAGCACTACACTTCCAATTTTTTTCTCACTAAAGCCCCAGTAAGGTTGAAAATTTTAGAAAAACCCCCAAGATTTTTTGCGGTTAACCTCCACATAATGTCATCCAATAATTTTATATTAACAAAAATTAACCCTCCAGGCCGGTAAATACTCCTAAATTTTCATATTTAACAGTGTAGCCATTAAATTACAAACAATTCTAAAAGTCTAAAATTTGAATAACCCAAATATTTTCAAAAACTACAATAAAAAACCCCGCATAAATTTCTAAAATTATAGAAAACCCCTTAAAAATCATATATTACAAACAAAGTCGTGAAAAATAAAAATTTATTTGTAGCACCTTGAAATTTTTTGAAATTGTTAAAAACCTACTAGAAGTTCTAGAAATTGCAAAGTGACCCTAAATATTATAAATTTATAAATGACCCTTGAAAAAAATTCAAACATCACAAACAAACGCTTTAAAAATTCAAAAACTACAAATAACCCCTTTCAAATATGAAAATTACAAACAATCCTCTAAAAATCTAAAATTTTAGACAAACACATGAAATTTATGAAAATTATAAAAATGCCATACAAAAAAAACAACACCTTGAAAACTTTGATACTATAAGCGAATCACTGAAAATTTTGAAAACTGCGAACATACCTTTAAAGTAGAGTATTACAAAAATAAACCAAAAATTTTAAAAATTCCCAAAAAAGAAAAATTACTATCAACCCTCCAAAATATCCAAAAATATAAACAACTCCATTTAAAATCCAAAAATTACAACCAATCTCTTGAAAAATCTAAAAATTACAAACAAACCTATGAAAAAACTCTAAAATTTATAAACATTTGTTATGGATTTTCTGCCAAAAATTATTTAGTATTAGTTAACAAAACATAAACTTACTAATTAATGGGCTTTTTGCTAAATTTATTAGGAATATTTTAATCACTTGACTATAAAGAAAAGCAACGTGACTCGTGTTCTTATACAAATTTATTGTGCACGAACATAATACTTGTATGATATAAGAAAAATCAATGTGACTAATGTTCTTATACATATTTTAACGTTTTATGATTTCAATGATACATTTTTTTAGTATTTCTATTTGATTTCAGATTTTATTTTTACAGAAATCGCCTTTAAAATTGATTGAGAATATGATAAATCACTTTTCAAGTTCAATTGATATAAAAAAAACTTTAAAGGGAGTTCCACTAGCAAACAACTACCTTCAAATATTTTTTGGTGAGTTCAAAATCTCCAAAATCCCCTTAAAAACACATGAATCTAGCACATGACATATCTATTGTACGCAGCGGAAATTTCGGTAGAACTTCGGCGCAACTCGACGTAACAAGAGAGTAAGATCACAATAGGAATTCTCGTTTCACCGAGGAAACAAGAACCAAAAGCAAAATATCTCAACAAAGTGTGATATCAGCTCTTCCTCTCATCAGTTCTAGGACTGATCTGTCGAGGGAACCTAAATAAGCTATTACAAATCACACAAACAGCGAGACAAACGAATTTTACGTGGTTCAACAAATTGCCAACGTCCACGGGGCAAGGAGGGGGGAGATCTACTATTAGAGAGAAAGAATACAAATAGGGTTTACAATCACACAAATTAAACCCTCATACAAACTCTCAAATCTCTCACAAAGGGGATGCCAAAACTCTTCTCAAAGTCAGCGGCTTCTTTGTCAAAGTCGACGGCTCCTGCGATTTCCCCTTCACGAAGCCCTTGCATGTCGTCGCGATTTTTCTTTTCACCCTCTGCTCTTGCACACTTTAACCTAGGGAATCTTTCCTATTTATAGTTGCAGAAATTGAAAAATTCCAGGCCCAAATAAACAATTTACCCGATTGATTGTTGCTGCTCTCTCACAATCACGTGGGTATGGCTTTGGGTTGAGTTGTTTCACCCACGTGAGTGGGTGGGCCCCAACATCCACTCATAATTCTCCACCTCGACGAAGTTTTTTTTAAAACTGAGCCGACATCAAAGCAGCCAAATGTCCCACTTGTTGCGTCCAAAATGAAGTGGAGTAAATTCCACAACAACGGACTCAATCCACAACAAGTCGGGAACCCGAACGAGAATCCAAACAATCTCCCCCCATCAAAATTAACTAATCCAAACCGGCTGTATCGTAAAGATTGCCTACGTATCCTCTTGCCCAAGGAATCAAGCCTCACGTAGTTCACCCAAATGGTCGCCAACGACCTCAACAATCACGAATGTGCAACAAGTCTTTACAATGATCAAACTTATTGCTCGGAATCACCTTTGTGAGCATATCCGCCGAATTATCCTTCGTGTGGACCTTCACAATCTCCA